AGTGCAAAAAAATACTCCCGCATGAATCATCCGTTCTTGCTGGATGTGACCTAAAAGGAGACAAGTTCACCTTGAGGACAATCAAGCACTGGAGCAGGCTGCACAGGCAGCTTGTGTAGTCTCCGTCTTTGGAGGTTTTCAGGCTGACAAAGCCCTAACCAAGCTGGTCTGAACTCAGTCTCGACTCTGCTTTGAGCAAGATGTGGGACTTGGTAACTTCTGAGGTTCCTTCCAGGATTTCTACATGGGACATATGAAAAAACTTAGCTGCCGAGGGATTTTAATTTTTCAAGTGGCATAATACAATCAATTCTATCACACAACTGACTGCGTAGTTCTGCATTGATTATTTCATCTCGTTTGCATGTTCAAAAAATTAACTGAGATGTGCCTCATCTATGAGAATAGTTTTGTGGATTTCTAGAAGCTATTTAAATGCACAGTGAGCAGGATAAAATGTATGTATGTACAGCTGTAAAAAACATCTGGTGTCATGCTCCTGTGATCATCTAATAGTATCAAAAAAAGGGGAAGCTAAACTGCTTGATATGCATCTTTATACTCAGGCCCGTATAAGACAAAGTATAATACACTTTCTAATATATTAACATCAAGAACATTTTCTTTCCAGTGTAGTAATTATTTCTGCACGTCATTAGACAGAGTTACTTAGTCCCTTAAAAATTATTCAAGAGGAACATTTTCTGGGAACATAGGTAAGTATTACTGAAGACAGGATTTGTTCTTAAGTGTTCCTAGTGATCTTTTCTGAAACTGTGTTTCAGAAACTGTGAACTTCATACTTTAGCGTGCAGTTAGCACTTTCATGTACATGAACTTAAGGGCAGACTTTCCAGCTTTGAACTTACTGAGATTTTATCCTGAGCATCAGAACTAAAAAATGTTGCCACCATTAATGATGGCAGGGTAGTTATCTTACTTTTTTTTTTTTTTGGCTTGTGCTACAGATCCATGTGTGTGCAAATCACAGATACGTGTCCACTCTGAACCACTTTTTTATTATTGTTCAGAACTGGCAAAGAATGATTTTGGAGATTATGATGTTGCTTTCCAGTTTTTATGGTAGGCATTTCTGTCTCCTGGGCTTATAAGAATGTAGCTGTCAAGGAGAGTGGAGGGATCGATTTATGGGCTTAAACCTAGACAACAATAAGATATGGTTTAGGGGTGAACTTGTAGTGTAGGGTTAATGGTTGGACTCGATTATCCCAAGGGACTTTTCCAACCTGAATTGTTCTATGATTCTAAGATGACCAATCCAGTCAGCCATAATAATGTCCCCATAGCTTTTAAAAAATTTTTCTTTACAGCAGCTTACTCTGTTTTTCTTTCCTACACAATTGAACAGTTACACCTTAGGCAATTAAGCTGCAGAGTCCTGGGGAAAAGCTGCATTTCATGATGGCTGCAGTGGATTTATATGAAGAAGAAACTTCCTAAAATGCTTGAGGATTTTTAGGGTGAACTATCAGTAGAAACTTTTTGTGTTTATAAATGTAAACTTGAAAGCAAATACATTTTTTTTATATTGCATGATCTGATGTCAAAGCTGTGATTTTAACACTGTTACAGCCTTTATCTAATGCTACTTACCTATCAAGAGAACACTGTAAAATAATAAAAAAAAATATATCTGCTGTATCTTCTTGAAACTGTGCATTAAGTAGGGCCTTGCAGCTCGAGTGAGCTGTATTTGTGACAACTTGTTACTCCCTCATCCTCATGAGATCTGTGTGTTGTGAGCCAGCTGGGTGTTACTTCTGTGTTTCATAACGTGCAAGATTAGTTCTTGACATGGTGCTTTTCTTTACCATTTATTCCCGATTGGCACAGATTGCAGTAGAGGAGAAACAGGTCCATACTCTGCTGTGACAGGATCAGGATCAAACACCTTCATGGTGTTAAATGCCAGGTTAAACACCGAGTAAAATGCCTAAGAAGGAGCATTTGCAAAAGGTGAATCTGACCTAGTGGTGATCTTGCATGGCAGTCTCTTCTGAATGAAGAGAGACAGGTTCCTCCAGGCAAATTAGGTAAATTGCTTTGATTTATTGTCTGGAAGTGTCTTCCTCTTTTCTCCATTATCTGTTTTCTAGATGAATGAGCTGATGCTATGCTTTGTGAGTCAGTTCCTATGCTGACAAGGGTAGTTCCCCAGTGGAGTAACTTTACCAGGATTAGTGGCATTCACTGGTGGTCGAGTGTGGCTCAAAAATATTAGAAGATAACATTTGAATAGATTTGCATTGTAACCCCACTGCCTTCACTTCAGTCGGTTTTAACGAATCCCACTGACTGCACTGAGGGCAGGGTTTCGTCTGAAGGATCTTGGAATTTACACAGCATACATTGAAAGTCACCAAGATCAGCTATCCCAATAATTTAGATATCTCTCACAACTTACTAGGCAATGGGAGCAGCTTAAAAAGTATTTAACAGAGGAAAACCAAACAAATTCCTGTAAAATAACATTCGCTTTCTTTCCTGGGCTGGGCAGCCCCATTTTTCAAGTAGCCCCTAACAAAGCTGTTCAGTCCCAACTGGAGTTGTCAGGCTTTTTTCACTGAAGCAGTGGCAACACGGAGGGAAGAGTTAGTCTGTAAGTGATCTGTCCAACATAACACTAAATATCAAGACATTTTTAAAGTTTTCCTTTTTTATTTATAAAATAAATACATAGTTGATTGCTGTTATAAACACACTTCTGGCAGAAGTCACCTCAGCTTGCAAAATTCAGTGAACTGAAGAGAACAGTTCACAGTTTATTTGGTAGTAGTAACTGACATCTGAATCCAAAAATAATCCTAATGGATGATTTGCATGAGTGCTTGTTGCTGTCTTCCCAAGTGTTTGCAGTGCTGATCCCTAGGAGAAATGAGCTCATGTATGTCACAGGAAACTGGATTTTGTATTGGCAGGTTCTGCTGAGCTTGGGGACACTCAATTCTAAATGCTTTTGCTTATGAGAAATGTACCATGGTTCTTTGCCCTTTTTACCCCCACGGGAAGAGTTTCACATGGGAATCTACTTTATGTCTTGGGAAATGCAGTAAATCTTTCATAGTAGGATTTGTAATTTTTTATGTGCATCCCTTCATGGGCAGGGTTGGGAGGGCATGTAATTACTGAAAACAAGAGAGTCTGTGAGCATTTTTGGTATAACACATGGCTGTAAATATATAAAAATAGTCTAGGTTGGAAGCTATATAGCATTAGAGTGCTTTAAGCTCTCCTCTGAGGTTGAAGTTAGATCGTTTTAAAATAGTCTTCAAAAATGATTTTAAAGAATTTGCAGCGCTTACTTTACATGCTGTCTTGGGTAGCATCATTTATTCCAGCAATTGTGTTTAAATTATTTGTATTTTTTATAAAAGAATCCTCCTTGAACCACTTCACAAAACAAAATATTTTTTGTGCAGTCCTCAGCATGTAGGTCTCTGTAAGTCACAGGAGAGGTTTACACCTCGACATTTTACCAAAGAACTAGTAAATGCTTTTGATTTGCTTGCATATAAGAAGTAGTTGGTCAAGTAAGGAGTCCCTTTTTAAGAAGAAGGAGGTTTGCTTGTGTATTATATTATTTTTTAATATTTTATTTATTGTCAAATGATGTAATGTTTTATTATTTCTCTTGATGATTTGTATTACTAAGAGAAAAGTAGCACCACTCTCTTCCAGTGAACTCTTCCCAATCTTAATTGTAGACTGTGTTCAGAACTGGAGCAACCTTGGTGTTCTTTAGCAATTCTCAATGCAAGGGAACATGCCTTCTTCCTATGGATCTCATTTTAGGAAGTTTTTAAAGGTATACCAGAACACTTTAAAATACATTCCCTTTATTCTACCAACCAGAACATGAAAATATGGTGTTCCTCTTTGGAGAAGGTGTTTTGATAATGGTCACTGTTTTTTGAGCTATTAATACTATTCTAGCTTTCACAAGTTTTTCTATCTCATTTTCATGGATTGCTAGAAAAAATGTAACTGTATAAGAGTATAACTGAACTACTGGGTGAAGACAAAAGCCCTTTTAGCCCAACATCCTGTCTCTGATGACAGCAAAAAGCAAAT